AGGACCCGGAGCATCCAGTGGCCCTCATGGCACCACCGCTGGGTTCAGCCGGCCCTTGGGAAGCATGAGAAGTACTCTAAACCCTAAATCCTACCCCCCTAACCCTAAACCCTACAGTCAGGGTTTGGGGGTTCAGGTACGGATCGGGGGTTCAGGGCTTACGGCTGAAGGTTTGGGGCTTTGCGGCTCGGTATCGGGACTTCGGTTAACGGCTTCAGTTTCCCCTAGGCTTCCAGGGACCTAATTATTGGGTCCTTAAGGGGTCTAGCCTAACTATAAGGTTCCTTGGAAGCATCGGGTTTGGTAGCTAAACTCATGTTTTTTCACCACAGGGACCCATGCATGTGCGGCACTCGAAGTGCCTTGAGCGCCGACCTCAAGCCCCTGCCCAGCCCGGACAATCGGCAAAAGGCATCAGTCCCGATGTCCGCAACTCGAAACGAAGGTGCATGCAGTTGGCATCGAAGAAACACCAAGCCTCTGCACAAGATCTTCTATGTTCCCCAGCAGGACCCTTTTGCCCTTTTTATTTGGGGGGTCCCCTTATGAAAAAGCCAAATATTAGGAAAAAGGGTAACCTTATCATTAAGGGAACCTATTTTTCTATAAACCCTAAACCCTAGACCCTAAACACTAAACCATGTAGACCCTATAGACCCTAAACCCTTATCAGTAAGGGGTTACTGGGGAACCTAGTCTTTCAAGATCTGAGGCCCTGGCCCTCGGAAACAAAGCCTGCAAACTCTAAGGTCATAGCCTAAACCCTAAAACCCTAAACCACTAGGGTTTATAGCTAGGAGCTTTGTGGTTCGGGCTCACCTGTTGAGCTCCCGGGCTCTTTCCGGCTCCATCCCGCACACTGATGATGAAGATAAAGACGGGCTGATACAACGATCAAAAAGGCGGATTTTTGGGTTTAGGGTCCGGGATAATTCGTAATGGTAAGAACAGTTCCTCGTAGGGTTTAATTAGGATCAAAAAGCCCAAAGGGTCCAAGTACCATTATCGTAGCTACTTAGTAGCTATTTGGGCCCCCCAAAGTACACACTATACTAGTACTTGGACCCTTCGGGAAGGCGGGTTTTGGGTTTAGGGTCCGGGATAATTCGTAATGGTAAGCACAGTTCCTCATAGTTCCGAATGCTGTTGTAGTGTTACATACTGCAGATCCCGGTTCTAGTCATTCAGGCCACGATATTGGGGCTTACCTAAACCCTAAACCCTAAACCCTACACGATTGATGTAGACATCCACGGTAATTTTCCACATCGACATAGAGAGCCACATCTGCCGCACAGGGGATTCGGACAGAGACTGGACGGACTGTGCCGTACCGAAAGTGACTACTTGGGTTTCCTGATTTTGATTGTAGTAATGCCTACCCCAAACAAGGGGCTCTGTGATATAGGGGCGGTACTTTTATGCCCATAACTTAACGAGGAACCCAAAAGAACGGTAGCGGGAATCATCCCGGCTTCTGCACTACAGCTGTGGCAGTAGTGGCCGAGGCCGAAGCAGGGGCAGCATAAATTTCTTTGAGCTTTTGCCTTACGCCAGTACGACAACGGTAACAATAGCAGCTTCAACGACGCGCCTGGCACCATAATCCTGGTGGTGGTTAGAACTCGCCCTAAACCTCTAAAGTTGCAACGCCCCAAACCCGACACTTCACAACCCTAAATCCCAAAGCATTCCTGAATCCCACGCCCGTGCACCCTAAGTGGAACGACAACAGGCACAGCATAAAGGCTGAGAGCATCATCAAAGAGGCTTTCGCAATCTGCTGACTGATAACGGCCCCTAAATCGTAGAGCCTGTGATTGCAGAACCCGTATTGCAACCTTTACAAGAACCCTATTCTAAAAACCTAAGGCGGCTAGAGTCCTTCACATGATGACGTCTCATCCGCCTCTCCAGCTCAGGACGTCGGTGGGCTTTCAACCCGCTGATCCCACTGCAAAGTGCGCCGGGCTTTCTGTTCTCTGGGTCCTTCTTGGATACAATTTTACATCTTTATTTTTTGTTATTTTTAGTTATAAAAAAACCTAGTAAGGATTCAAATTTAGAGTTTTGTTGTTGTTATAGTAGAACCCTAGTAAGGATTCAAAAAATGATCATCTTTAAGATGGCCCCAACATGGAATAAGATCGAATGTGCTACGGCTGGCAGGTGACAGAGCTGAGAACAATAGGGATCTGTGTAGATGCACAACCAGGTTGCTGTTCGAGAATGCTGTTTTTTTTTTCGGCCTGAGGCGTTCATGGAAAATTGAACATTCGAAGATATTCGAAGTCGAACTTCCCCATGTAACATAAGAGGCACCCGTTTCAGATTTGGAGGTTCCTCAAAACGGGATCAGGACTGTCCTTTTGTTTTGTATTGTAGTTTGTGGTGGTGTGAAGGGAGAAAAATTAGAGGAAATTGTTATGGGGCAAGCCTTGCATCGGGCATCCTGCGGACTCCGAACAAGGCCAATGAGGAGGACGGGGAGGGGGGACAGAGGGCATTTGCTGTGGCCGTCTTGTGATTTGGCTCAGGGATCAGGGAAACCCGAACTTCGGCATCGCGAGCGGTTGCAGAGGTGTTTGCACCATGATGACGCCGACCCGAGGTAAAACCTACCAGCCCGCATGCCCTCGTCGTACGGGCCTTGGCAGAGTGGGATGGCAGCTAGTTTATCTCAGTCGCATGTAAACCCAAGAACCTTAACCCAGCCACAGCCCTGAACTGCAGCAGATACTGTTGAGGGTGTAAGCTTAGTTAGGAAAGTTGGGTGAAAGATTCGCGCCAGCACTGTGAAGATTGACAATCAGATCTTCCGAAACAGAACCGCATATCTTCCCTCCTGGAATCCCATTCCACACCCAAGCCAAAGCCTGAATGCCAAGACAACCGGGATGCTGAAAAGCAGATGTGTCTTCATCATCACCGTAGCAGGTTCCCCCATCACGCCCGTCCAGCTTGTTTAGAGCCTCTCTAACACCGACATGCCTATAGCTGAAACCCTGGGCGCTCTTTCCTCTGTTAAGGCCCTTCTGGACCTGCGCCTGAGCGACTGCAACGAAGAGCTGCTGGAGCTGCAGGACAGCCTCGGGCCGCCCAAGCAAGCAAACCTTGTTTTGACAGGGCCGTATCAGAGGGATGAAGGGTTGTCGATGTCAGTCAATTCAGTGACCCCCATGAAAGAAGCTACAGCGTCCCTCCCTTTCTCTCTGTGTCATTGTCAATCTGAGCCCCCTGTGGCACACCAGCCGATTGCGGAAGAGTGCGGGTCGTTGCGGATGCTGCAACATCCTGTGCAATCGATCCATCTGCACTACACCGCATTCGTTTCAATTGCAACGTTAGGCTCACTTCGCACACTTGCTCCAGTAGGACAGGCCGAAAGTTTTCTGGGCGGGAAATTTTCTAGACGGCCAAAGCCTAATACCCATAACACCCGCTTAAGCCCCGAAAGCCTCACTGTGACCGGCTTCACGCAGGCCGCCTCCAGACGGCTTCACGAGGTGGCATTGAGTCAGACGGCGCACATCCGGCTGTGGTTATTTACAACTTCCCGGGTTAACGACTGTGAAAACTGAAGCTGGATGGCTGGCTTGCTATGTTCTTAATGCGCTCCACTAATCGCGGGACCGCCGCCCTCGAATCACAAGGCGGACCTGCCCTTAAGTTACTGGCCCGAAAATGCCGGAAAGCCGACCGGTTTTTAGATATTTTAGACAAACGCAAAAGGCCTCCAGCACGTCAGACACCGTAGACGAACCAGAGAAGCTGAAACACCGGCTGCGAGACCCGTCTATGAAGGGCCTTCCTGAATTTTCTTGTTTTTTTGTGATCTCGTGGGCTAGAACTGCGATGACCGCCCTCGCTGGAGCTTCGTGGAGCGACTCGACTCACTGTCAAAGAACCAAATACCATTGAACTGTACCTGGAGACCAGATCCTGTACACAGTTTGCTCAATATTGCATCTTGGCCCAAGCACCGAGGCCTCCAAAAACTTCCAAAGGCGATTTACCCGGGGGCAGCTTAAAACCCAGTCAAGCAGCTTTAGCTTTGACTTCTAATCTCCCCTAAACCCAAACACGATCCTCAGAAGGCTAAACCAATACCTACAGCCTAAAGCTCTCTTTTACTCCTTGGACACAGGCCTATGCACCTGCACGCCGTCAAATGTCGGAGCCCCGGGCCCTTCTTTGCCTTTGTTTGGGGCTTTCGGCTGAGTGGGGACTGTCCAGATTTTGCGCGCAGCGCCCATCGCCCATACATGAGAGGCCTGATTAAGTCAACTGATATGTTTGGAGCCATCAGGCACCCTAAACCCTCTAACCCTGAACAGAAATCTTTAAACAACACATCCTAAATCCGAAAATCTTCAAACACTTTAGAAACGGTTCAAGCCCCTGCAGAGTTTGAATACCCAAGTGTCCAGGTATTTGCTGCAGAGTGCCAGGGCCCCGGCATCAGCACACAAACTAGTCGTGGGTAGTACGCAGCAACTTCCATGCCACAGCCACCGTCCCAAAGCAGCCCGGCAAGGCGTTGTAGAGACCCCCTTAACCTCAAAGCCTAAACCCTCAAGCCTGCATCCCAGATGGCCCTAGACGACCTGGGAACCCTCAACAGAGCCCTAAAAAGGGGGGGGCCCTTGGGGTCGGAGGCGCTCCTTCGAGGTGATGAGGCCACTGCATCCGAGACTCGGAGGTGGGCCTCTCAGGTCTTTGCAATCTTCACGGGTCGGTGACTGCTGACGATTCATGGTGCGCAGCTGCTGGCTCATTCAAGCCAAGAAGCTGATGTTCATGGGCACTGGCAACTTGCAAGACAGAGAGCTTCGGCAGGCATGACCAAGAAGACATAAGCAGATGCCTGTCCCCTCTTGCCAAAGTGACACCGTGGCGAGAGCGTCTCAAGTCTAGAGTCTAGAGCGGCCGTCTCAGTCTGGAATCCCTGTCCAGCGACAGGGCTAGATAGATATAGCTTTGCTGTCCTTGCTGAAGCCATGGTTCTTCGCCGGGGATGCAAACATCAAGGGGACACTGCGAAGAGGCGCGCCAGGCAGGGTTTGATGCTCTGCAGGCGCCCAGGCCTCATGCGAATGCTGCGAACCAGCTCAAAAGACACAAGCCTGGTAGTGTCGGATCCGCTGTCGGCGGGACTCAGTCCCTCTGCTTTTCGCAAATACGAGATGGCTATGAAGAACGCATCCCGCAAGAACGTGATTCCGGGCTGCGCCAGCGTTGTGCTCAAGATGGGAGAAGTCGTGCAAGCCAGAGCGTTCGGCTTTGCAGACTTGGAGGCACGTCGGGCATTCCGGCTGGACACCATCTGTCGCGTCTTCTGTGTCACCAAGACTTTTGTGCTCTTGCTTCCAATCTGGCCTTACCCACTTCGTTGTGCACTCTCTCGCCATGCACACAGCAGAAGTCAAAGCGCTCGGAACAGTGAAAGCCCGAAGGAAGCAGCGGTTCCAGTACTGTCGAGGCAGCGAAACCTACAAGGTTAGGCGTAGCCGACAAGCACAGCAACGCAAACCGTCGAGGGGCCCTCTTCGAGAGGGGAACGCATATTTATGTGCTATGTTATGGCAGCCTCATGTTTGTATGTTTTGTCAGGGTGTCCCCCGAAAGGGTGCCAGCGTTCGGAGATCTTAACTCTCCACTGAACTGAGGTGACGGTGGCGTTTATGATGCTGGTGGAGGACGGGCTGGTTCGACTGGAAGATCCGGTGACCAAGTTCCTCCCAAGCTTCGCTGATGTTCAGGCACATTTCGGCATGAATCCGGGAGGACCTTCCAACCCAGAAGCCCTAAACCTCTCCGTGGTATGACCCCTCTTGAGGTCTTTGGTGGTCTATAAGATTGGTTTGGTGGTTCTCGGCTGTAATGGGGTCGTCTTGCCTGATCGGACAAAAGCATAACAGTCGAAAAACCTCTCCGTAATGCACGAGTGTGAGAGCCCAAACTAGTGGAAATCGAAAACCCGTTTTTTCGGAGGATTGGAGTTCGAGACTCGAAGTTGGATTTGGAGACCTTCTTAGCATGTGGTGCTGCTAGTGATGACCATGAAGATGATGGTCGCCATGCTGGCGAAGATCGAAGGTTTGTGAACGGTGATGGCTAGTATTGCTGCGTTCGTTTGTTCATGATTGTCTCATGATGCCCTTAATCGAGTAACAGAATCTCTTGCCATTGCACGCGCTTACCCAGAGCCGCAACGGCATGATATTCGCATGTGGGTTACTTACTTGCATTGCTAAAGCTAGCATCAACGTGAAATCCGGTATGCAGATGCATGCTGTTGTCCTTGCTGCTGCCATTTATGGCAATTGGCCATTCGGTTTCAAAAAGCTACGATCGCGAGGAACATCTCATTGTCTGCTGGTACTGCAACTGACAAACCACTAACATGGTCTCGATACAAAATCCTGATCAACTCGGTCGCCAATTTTGCCCGGAACCCGGAACCCCCGCAGCGTCTTGCTGAGCCCTCCCCGGACCTATCAAGAACCTCTTTCAAACAACCTCATTGCAAGACTCGTAAGTCGCATCCCTGTAAAGCCGCAGAGGTGGTCGCCTCGCGCTCCAGCGAGGAGTCTCCTCCGTCCAGGCTTTGCAAACCCAAGCGGACCATGCGAATGCACCACTTGCTGCCCAGCCTGCGAAGGGATCCCTAAGGAGCTTGGAACCGATATAGCAAAGACGGAGTGGGTTCAGAGTTTAGAGCCCCTGCTAACGGCAGGGATCGAGGTTAAGGCTGTAGCATTCAAGAGACTTGCCAGCTTGACACAGCGGGTGTTCGATGTATTTAAAGAAGGGACACGACTAGTTGAAGCGACAAATGCTGGATCACCCCTAACTTAAAACCCGATAGATCCTTTACAGTGCCCTCGAGGACCCCATAAATTATCCCGGTCCTCAAGACGATCGTCCTACTTCCTGCAGCTATCGAATTGGCCTTGCTGTTGTTGTTTCTTGTGAGCTTCATCCGGTTCCCAAGCATCAAACCCGGGTAGACTTTACCTACGGCCTTGTAGATCTCGCCTTATAGTCCTCAGTACAGCTACAGCACAATATACCCCGAAACCTTCTTCTAGTTATTCGGGCTCTTTGACTCCAAGGTTGACTCACACCTCCGGGCTATCGTATGGCTCGGGCTTCGGCGAGGTTCCCAGCGATGCCACAGAAGAAGGCTACGCCAAGCTTATGCCCCTGGGTCTTTGTTTGTTACCGGTATGGTTCGAGACTAGCTCGCAGGCAAGAGCATTGGCTAAAGCCTAGAAAGAATCCGTGCACCCACAAGCCGTGCAAGCCCAACCCTAGGGGCGATGTAGACCGCGGACAAGTGCGGAGTCTGGCCGTCTTTGTGAATCGCCTGGCGAAGGCTGGGAAATGGGCAGAGCTTGGTCACTTCAGCACCCCCAAGCTTGGAATAGTGTCAAAGCGGTGTTCTGGAAGGTTCCTTTACGCTTTCATCCGGGCGACTCCTATGCTTACGGCTTTTCCACCGACGTGCTGGGCCGTGTCGTGGAGATCATCAGTCGGAAGACCTTGGAGGATTTCTTGCACCCGGCCCTGCAAGGAACACAGTTCAGGGAAGTGGAAGATCTCGGTGGTTCAAAGTGCGGGTCTTATAGCTGGGGGTTAAGCTTCATGTTTGACATGTACCTCAAAGCTTTACTTGCCGAAATATTTGCAAGTTGCTCTACTGGCATAAGAGAATGACGTATGTGGGGCTCAGGAAAAACTTGGAAGCCTGGCTGGTCACAGTAGCGCGCCTAGTTCAACATTGCATGCAACATTGGACGCATTCTTCTGGGCCCTTATGTCCAACCTGCCCTCAGACTCCCAGAGAGCCCAATACCCCTTAATTAAGGAATATACCTTAAGTTATAGGGGCCTTGATATTATGATTCAAGGTATATTCCTTAATTAGGGGGTATTGGGCTCTCTGGGCTTCTTAAGGCTACTCGAACCCTCAACTCCAGACCTGCAGTGCCCCGAGCCTCTCCCGTGGCATCCGAGGCAAGAGAGGATCTTCCGACCCCTCGGCATGGACGACACTGGGTCCCACGGTCTCCCCAAAGTGGGTTTGCAAGAAAGGGCCTACAGAGTTCAAGATTAAGGGCCTGTAGCTTCTTGCTCACAAAGGATAAGGGGTTTGAGGCACTCCCCGGCTTATGGGAGAGACTAAGGCGCAGGCGTTAAGCCTAAGGGGCTGGAGGCCCTGCATGAGATATGGCGTACGTGGTATCTTATCAGCCTTATCATTATGTGAGACCTGTTGTCATGGATTCCAGGTTTTCTGTGCCGGACGACAAGCTTCACCGCTTGGCGGCATGCCGCTGGGCTTGTTGTGTATTTGGGCGAGCGGGAGCAAACCTACCCTCCTTCCTCAAGAAAACATCTCTGAGCTGTGCGAGTCGACATAGTAGAAATATCCTGGCATTGTAGCCATGGACCGAGGCTACGGCAACGCGAGCACCTGGGGGAGGCTCTACGGAGACGTCGCCGGAAGGCCACGGCCACACCCAGTACAGTGAGAGAGGCTTCCGAATCTGAGGTTACGAGATCTCGGAACGCCAGGTTGCTCAGGCTTAGACAAGGAGGATGGTGGAGGCATAATCGCAAAGTTAGCGAAAGACCCGCCAAATGCACATAAAGTCCTGCCTCGGCAGCAGCAATAGAAGTACTCTCCGCTAGGCCTACAACACGGCTACGCCACGGTGCCACTGGTAAAGGGGGGGAGCATGACACGACGGCCCTGTTTGCACAGCCAACCCTTTTGATAAGGATGCCATGGTTGAGGCTTACAGAGAATCAAACCGGGTTCAGCCAGAGGTGGTCGCTGAAAAGACCGCTTCATGTAGCACATAATTTGCTGGCAAGCATCGTCGGCTACGGAGTCGTCCAGATTCGGAGCACGAACACCGGAGACGTCATGTTGAGTTGTCGCAGCATGCCCTGCATGGACCCTCACCCTACATCTGATAAGAGGAGCTTTCCTTGAGAGAACCAGCAACCTCACCCGGCAGTTCCAGCTTGAAAATCCAAATCTCCAGAGCCCGTCTTTAGACGCACATCCTGCCAAGAGCATTTGGGACTGACCCGAAACAACCTAAGCCCGACGATGCAGGCGCACAGGAATGCATTGCACCCTTCCGAATCGGGGCTCTTGCGAACAGCCAATACACACTTTCATGCACACACTTTCATGCATGTTTGTGCATCCTGTGCATGTTTTTTTGGCATACTACGCTCACAAAAATCTGTGTAAAGAGACATGTAGATGGGATGCCTAGTCACCAAACTTGTTAAATTGCACGAAAGCCGGTGAGCCCGTGCTCGGCAGTGATGCAAAGCTGCCTTCCGCCCGCCTACTGCCAGGACGCCGCTTGTCTCCCGGTCCGGTCTGATTCGACTGGACGGTGACCGTCCAGACACTCGCCGGGTTCATAGGGTTTGGGGCTTATGGATTCTGATTGGCAGAGTCTGGGTTCAGAAGATTGCCTTGAGGTTTAGGGTTTAGGGTAACTGCTGGTAGAAAAGCTCCTCGCCAAGGAGGACAGCGCCTGGCGCCAGGGCCAGGAATGCAAAGTGCAGTCTGGTGGGGGCATCATGGGGCACCTGCAGGCCGGGAAGGGTGATTTTTGTACATCTCCTCTTAGAAGCCCTATACTACTGTGTGGCTCTCGAGTTTCGCGATGACCGATTTTGCCATAAGGGTGCTGCATGCATGCAGCAAGCCTTGTTGTTTGCCTTTGTTTGTAAACCTTCTTCTGGGAGGCCTACTGCTTCGAGATCATGCTCCAAAGCCCAAAACCTTACTGAAACCCCTAAATTTCCCTACAGCCAAATAAATGGCTTGCCCTTGCCAAGCGGGAGACAATAATAGCCTTGGCCAAAAGCCCTTAGAAGGACTTGAGATGCACAAGGAAAGCGGGCTACTGTAGCCATGGAGAGATACGGATAGCACGACGAAAAGCTACGTGTGACTATGGAGGGCTTGATGGGCATGCGCACCCAACATTCAGGGTGGTTTGGTCAGCACCGTGGCCGACACCATCCGCTTCGTGCGAATGTTGGCCTCTTGGCTGTGCATGATGGCCTGCTGTTTCACCTACCCGGCTAAGAGCACTTTGAGGTTGCAGCTGATTCGTCTGGGTTTAGGGGTTTCTGTATGCAAGATAGGTTCCACGACACAACTTGTAGATACGAAACAGTTTGACTCTTCTGAACCACATCCCCGGTCGTGTAGACCTCGCTACAGATCGCCGTATGTTTGAGAGGTCCACCGTGGCGTGTCTGGCGACGGGCGCAGGATCCTGGCAGAGGACACTTGGACTGGCAGTGCGTGTGCGACCACTTCAGCAGCAGGTGTGGAGCCATTCGCAGAGGTCATCGTGTTCCGAGGCTGCTGTTGTCATGGAGCCGTCTAAACTTTCAAGTTGTGAGGTGCGTGAAATCCTGCCTGTGATGGTAGTGCGGTCCCGAAAACATAGCGTCGCACCGAGCTTGCGAGGATACAATCGCAGCGCTAGAGTCCGCGCGCAAAGACAGTGGCCTGGCAAACGAGGACTTCGCCTACCCTGCAACAAAGCTCCTGGCACCCAGACTTTGCGGTGTCCGAAGCCCTTGAACCCTCTAGCTTAGTAGCTGATTTGGTCGCCCTAACCCTTTCCGGGTTGATATAGCAATCTTAGCAATAGAAAACCGAGGTGAACCTAAAGCCAGGGACGGAGACCGTCCGTGCTAAGCCCTAAACCCTCCCTTAAACGCGGGAGCCCAAAAACGAGCTCTAAACAAGACAAATCTCAATAGGCAAAGCGCGGCAAGAAGATAACCGTGTTTCTTGCAGGAGAAGCAGTGCCTGCTAGGGGCGCTAGCGGGCTTCAGCGGCCACGAGTTCGGCTGGGGTGGGGCGGCGTGCACCTACTGGTCGGTCTGGGGCCCAGACATGCTTTCAGACATGCTTAGGATGTTTAGGGCTCCAGCGAACTCCTTCCGTCACCCTTCCTTTGCATTGCTGCGTGCTCCTGTGTTTGCTGAAGCAAGCCCGAAGCCGCTTGACCCTAAGACCCAAGCCACGAGACCAACCACAACTAGCGCTGCTTCTCCGCAGGTCGATCGAAAAGAGAACAATGCCATCGTCTGGTTTACACAGCACATAGACATGCCAGAGTGGGAGGACCCAGGATTGAAACGCAGATGATAACGAGTTGTGGAAGGTTCCACGTAGACTGACTCCCACTGCACTCGGGTAGGGTTGTACGGTGTGCGGCATCCACGTTCGGCTCTGAAGCCCTCGAAACCTGACTCAAAGTTCTGCCCCTTCGCCCTGGAGGACCAGTCGGTGGTAAGCAAGGAGGACACCCATGCGTGGGCTTTAGTCTTCTGGGCTTCGGACCACCGCGAATTAATGTCTGATTTCACGCCACGGTTTGTGGTGCTGGGGATGTGCGGCCAAAACTTTGGGGGGTGCTATGTTTGCTAAGCTAATGGGGCGACTGTATGCAGCGCCGCGGCTGCACTGAGGAACATGAGCCGAGCAGTTGTTCGCCACAGTACATGGCGGTGACGATACTGCTGCCAGTGCTGCCGATGGCGAGGATGAGGATGGTGACCGTAAAGTACTAAAGTGATAAATTTTACTAATAGTGTCAGAATTTCCATGCATTTGTTATTATTGCAGCTGTTGCTGAACTGAAGAGGATGGCGAGGAGGAATAGGCTTACACTGCGTTGTTACTGCTACCACCACCACGAGTAGTACTGCTCCTGCGCTACATCTCCTTCTACTGCTCTTGCTCCTGCTGTGTCCTTTTTTGCAAACATGTGCATAACAGTGATGTTTGAATCCCTACAAGGGCTCCCCAGAAGACTTTTAGGCCGACAGCCTTACACATCTTGTGTGGGCGATGGTCAGGAGGCTGACATCTGGACGGTGCTGAAGAATGGCCGAAGACCCAGGCATGGCCCAAGAAGCTTTTGGTTGAGTGGGTTTCTTAAGGCTCGAGGGTTCGAGGGCCTTTAGAGCAACAGCGATTCTCCATAAACCTGAAAGCCTGCAAAGCCCGCAGGCCTAGAGATACAACCAGCTGCGGGACAGCTAAGGTGTAAAGGGTCTTGGTGTTGAAGTGCGGAGGAAATGCTTTCTAGAGCCGGTGTCCTGAAGACTCCAACATGCCTCAACTGTTTGAGGGGTATTCCTGAAATGATAGGCTTGCGAAAGAGACCATCACGAAAGAAGGGATCTACGGTGACATACGGGTTTCTACATCCCCAACCCAAGCACTAGATGAGTCTTTGCGCTTCGGAACCCTCTCCAAAAACGCTGCCCTCTGCCTCGGCCCCTCTTGCAGGTCAAGGTGCCTCAAAAGCCCAAGCAAGTTGAGCAGCGGGTCCTCCATGGCCTGCGCTTTGAGGACTTCGGGGCCTTCTTAGGGGTTCGGCAGCGTGGGGCTCGGTTTTGTTTTGGAGCAGCTCAGCGTGTCTGGCCTCAAGGTTTCGCTTTTGCTGTGTTTGTTTAAGGGCTTACGGCGTTAGGGTTTTGTGAAAAGGTCGTTGAGTCAGGCTTTGCAGCAGAACCTTAGGCGAACGTCAAGCGAGGCCTCATCTCACGTTTGCAGGCTTCCCTCTCTTGGCGCAACAATCCATCCTGCAGAGCATCCTTGAACTTCACAGAGGGGGGTAAGGCTAGCTCGTAGGCAGCGCTAGCAGCTCCAGACAGCAGAATACTTAGACTGGCTCCAAATGGCGACAGCAATGCGGGACCTGAACATCCCAAAGCCGAAGTCAGGAGACAGAAGTGTTTTCCACTGTGCTCCTCGGCTGGTGCGTGCATCTGCGTGCGTTAGCATCAGTCCCAATGGTACAGATGGTGAAATGTTCGTGCTTCGCGGAGGGCAGAAAGACGAAGCAATTCTGAATGCTGAAGCTTCCTCAGAGGCATCGGCCATTCATCGATCACTTGAATGTGCTTCCGAGGCTGCAGGTGCAGATGCAGCCGCGGATGACAGGGCACCAGGACAAGCGGCTGTGCATGGAACAGGCCCAGCTGTCCACTGAGTCCTCGAAGAGGCTAGTCAAAGAGGCAGCCACTCTCCCCTGCGAGCAGCACGACATTGTACAGGATTGCGCATGTGCTGCCTTCAACGCCCACCGCACAACCTTCCTGCCTTTGGACCTGTGCTCCATGAGCCAGGATTGCCCCTCTGGGGCTTCTGTTAATGCACTAATGACGCTAACGCATCTGCTCGTTTCTCAATCTTCGAGAGGCATTGCCGGATGCTGGCAAAAAAACATCGCTTTCAGCTGCCATAACCCGCCGTATTGCTGTTAAGCAGCTCCTCAAACCCTCAGCCCGTTGAGAGGTGACATCAACACCCCAGAGTGAGATGAGAGGTTCAACTGGGAAGCCGCCAAGAGGTTCAGAAAAATAGGGCAAATGTAAGGCCAGGGACTTCAACCCCTTGACCTTGTAAAGACATCATTTTTTTACTATCTGCGCGAGGATTCAGGGACAAGCTTCCCTAACCCTTTGGATGGCCAGGCTTCGCTACAGCACAGGCGGAATCTCTCATGAAGCCTTAACTTGAGGTTGGCTTAGATCCAGAAAGAGCCTGTGACAAGGGAGTGCCTAAACTAAACCCTAAGAACTACCCTAAACCCTAAACCCCAAGGGAGTGGGAGCTGACTCATCCCTCGACCCTACACGTCATCAGCGAGCCGAGGTCCCTCCAGCAGGTGGTTCTGCCAAGCGATGTCGTCGGGGAGTCGTGGTCGAATGCAGAGGCCCCCCACGGAAGTGTCACATGGGATTTGTCTAGAGTTCGTGGAGGCACCGGGTTTGGCAAAGCATCAAAAAGAGAGTCGCTTACCCACTGCCTGCTGCGAGCACCGGGCTTCATTGGCAAAGCCAGAAAAACAAAGTAACCTTTGTCCACGGGTGGTCGGTCCGACTGGGACATGGCACATTCATCACCCACCTATAGTTTTCAGTTGTTTCACTCCACAGACCGCATCCGTTCGGATGAACTGTCACGTCTACTCCCCGCGTTTTAAGGCCTGAATCCCAGACCGAGGCTTGAAAATCTTGCAAACCCCCTTGCATTGCGGCGCTGCTCGAGCTAGACATGGACGCAAACCAAACCCGGGCTGCACCAAATCCCAACCCCAGTTGCAAAACCCCAACAGCCTGGATTGTCCGCGTGTGAGCGCCGAAACCCAACGGCTTCATATCCGGAGCCATGAACCCAAACCCAGGAGCCCGGCATCTCAAACCTGCAGCTTTGAATCTTTGCTGAACCACATGTAGGATAAAGGCCTGCAGCCTTGTAGAACGATTATTCGCAACCCAAGCCTGCATTCGGACTCACTAACCCTGATCCAAGATGCTGTTGTTGGAACCCTTTGGACTCCCGCAAGGACTTTAGGACTCTTTCTGGGAACCATGTCAAATCTCTCCGTTCTAGTTCAATGCTAGTAGGGTTGAAAGCGAGGTCGCTACCGGTGATTTAAAGACCCTAGGAGACTTTCACCCCAGACCAAGCACTCTAAAAGCACAACTCCCAAATTATCAAGTCCCAAACTCGAAAACCACCGACCGAAATTCCTATAGCCCCAAAACCGCAAAAGCTTCTTGGAGCCCGCATGAGGCGCGAGCCCGGTTCACAGAGTCCAACGAGCTCGGCGGTTTTCTGGAAGGCCGCAGATTGGGTTCTTTGCTCTCCTGGCGTTTAGAGTTTAGGGTTTAGGGGTTTAGGGTTTAGGGGTTCAGGGTTTCACTACTAGTAGTGTTAAAGTGCTGCGCCGCATGCCAGACGTCCAGACTTCAGGCTGCTCAAAGCCAACAAATGCGAAGGCTTGTAATTGGGTCCGTCTGTCCGTCTGGTTGTTTGATTGTGTGTCTGTATGTATGTATGTATGTATGTATGTAGGTAGGTAGGTAGGTAGGTAGGTAGGTATGTATTAATGTAAAATAACGTAATGTAACGTAATGTAATGTAATGTAATGTAATGTAATGTATGTATGTATGTATGGTACATGTATGTATGGTACATGCGCAAGCGTAGCGATATTTGAGAATACATCCGCAACTAGGAGAGTGCATAACCAGTCGTAGAAGGGAGGCATAAGGCGGGGTTACACATCCCTTCATTCAGAAAACCGCTCGAATTGTAAGATGGTTCCTCAATTAAGACTACTGACTACATGATATACCAGGATGAGAGAGGAATGTTGGAGGTAGGTTTTATGTTGTGGTACGCCTGGGGTTAGGGGACTCAGGGTTGAGATGAGATAATCAGAATAGGAGCTTGAGCCAGCTGCGAAGTGTTTCCTAGAGACTCCACTGAAGGCATCGCCTGTTGGTAAGATCACTGCCCTTTCACTTTCGCATGTCTCCTCAAGCTGCTACGACCCGGCCCATGCATTGGGTCAGGCTATCTCACATGCCTCCAACTGGAGTCCTTCTTCAGCAAGGGCGCCGGGTGGCCAAGTTGCTGCTTGATTCTATGGCGCTGAGATTCAGGCTGGACTCAAGGGGTGTGGTTGAAGCTGATTTGATTTCTTTTGGAACTTCAGGGGGCCAGACCTTTGGACGGTACATGGTTGCCAGGTTGGCATCACAAGGGTTTCGAGAGGCAGGGGAAGGCGGCACCGAACTCGGAAAACTCTTCTTTCGGTAGAGCGATGCGGGGCATTAAGGCTTTGCATGCCTTCGGGAGATGATATAGCAGACCTTATGAAAGATGGCAAGTCCACGGACTTCTTCAGACGAAGCCCCGAAGCCTGTATAATGCTGCAACGGTAGTAGCGGAACAACCTCAAAACCCTAGGCTGCAATCCCAAACAGTTTCCACAAGAGCTCATGAAAGCCTGAACCATCGGCGCTGAGGTGTTGACGATGCCATGGCCACAGGATTGCTTCTGGGTTCACCAGCCATGGCATAGGACGGGGTTCTGCCTAGAGGCACGATCGAGTCAGTGAAGGACTGCGCTTGTGTTAGGGGTTTTGGTGTTTCTGCGTTGGGATTTCAGTCTGCTGACGTGATGGTACACGGGAGAAGCTCGACAATTCAACGAAGACTTGGAAACTGAGCCTGTGAAAGGGGACCATCTACGGCTGGACGGTGTACCAGATTGCAAGCTGCCTAGACCCTAAACTTTACACTTCGGGAAGACCAGCTTATTATATGGCTCCTTTCATGTATTCGGCAAGGCCAGCACTTGCTGACCCCCTGCGACATGAAGCTGAGAATCAGAGCCGATTGACGCCCGATATTCTTCTACTTGGTTTCCACCCAAGGTGCGCATCTCTGGTTCAGCTTTTCATTTCAATGGATGCCATAAGTCAGAAAAATCCCCGGGCCTGGAGGAGTGGAGAACCGGCATCGACAATGTTGACGACGAGAGGCATGGCGTGTTACACGTTCTCCCTTTCTCCCACGGCTGGGTCTCCTGGTTCAGATCGTCCCCCTGTTTGTTGGGCGTATCAGGGTTACCAGGGTTCTGGAGCGTAGGATCCGCACTCCGACATCGTGGCAGGAGGGAGATGGGGCATGAAGAATCAGAGGAGAACTTGAGCACCCTATGCTCTGTGAAAAGTTGCCGCGAGGTATCTCCTGGGTCTGGTCGGTGCTGTCCATGGCTTGGAGCGCTACGCCATCGGGCGAGCCCGTGTCGGGGTGCCTGGATGAGGGTGGAGCAGACCGTGAGGATAGAAGGTCGTCAGTCTATGTCTGCTGTTTGCGCTCTTGCTGCGCGCATCATTTCCTCGAGGTGGCGCGGAATGACAGAATGACAAAAAAGTCTGCCTTCAGACTTCAGCGGATGGCATAACCTGGCAATCTTGGCACTACGTTTTAGCCGATTGCACAATGCTCGAAGTAGTGCACGAGCTTGTGATCTAAACGCCGAGGTCCCTCTGCTTGATTTGTGATATACTCTCGCAGTCAAACTCCTACCTGGAGTGTCCCAACTTCGAGAGTCGAAACAGTACGCCGGGATCCTTCACCCTCGACATCCTAAGCCCCCCTTGCACCGACCCAACCTGCACACACACACACATACAAACTAGCATGTCATACACGCAAACACACAAAGAAGCATTGCCCCCTTCGAGCTGTCGAGGTCTTGGACTTGCCCTCCATCCGCGTCGCCTGGAGAGCCACGTCCCCCAGCCATGGATTGCTGGAATGCCTCGGAGCCCGATACATGGGGCCATTGGCCATGGGACCCTAAGGCCGAACAATATCTAAACTGTTCATCCCGAAGCCCCCCGTGGCAAAAACGAAAGAGAAAGCAGCCTCCACATACATGCATACATGTATGCATGCATGCAGAGATACAGATGGATGGATGGATAGATAGATAGATAGATAGGTAGATAGATGGATAGATAGGTAGATAGATGGATAAATAGATATATAGATAGGTAGATCGAATGATAGACAGATAAATAGATAGGTACATAGATAGGTAGTTAGATAGATCCGTATGTACATGTGCGTGTATGCGTGGTAGTTGAGTTGTCAGCAGCTAGGAACGTCAGACCCCAACAGCTTGGGAGTCAACAGACAGTCTATGCCCGAAACATTAAGCCCAGGCAGTGGTGTGGATGGTGACAGTTTACAATGACCATGTTACGAACTTTGGCTACCGACATGCTGGCAGTCATAGCAAGATTACGACCAACCACTATGCCAAGATGTTGATGCTGATGATGGTTTTCCGTGGCCCAGGTAAGTATAACGGCTCTTGACTCTGCAGTGGAACTGTAAAGCCGTCGGATACCAAGTAAGTTGTCGAGTCTGAAACCCTTGGGCATTTTTTGTCGCATGGTTCTCCAGCTTGCAGACTGTCTCGGGCCAAGGGCCAAGGGACTGTTTGTCTTTGTTGTCCGTCCACTGAACACGTCATGATTCAATCCAAGGTGCCCGTCATGGTCAACCTGTTTGGTTCCCTTCATGCCTGTACACAGAGCATCCGGGATCTCCAAGCCGTCGCCCTAAATCCCGAAATCTCATGCTGCAGAATAAAACCACGGCCAAGGTGCGCTTACCCGTCTTCGGGAGAAGTTCCTGGTATTGGGGTTTGGGCTTAAATATGGAAAGCCGAACCCAAATAAGCCTGAAGCACCACGGGTGATCTTCAGATCTCGCGGCTGATGGACTTGGCAGGCAGTGCGTTGAGCAAGCGATGCTCCAGTCTGCACCTGAGTGGTAATCTCACCCCTCTCGCAGGCGGAGAATGCGACTTACTAAGTGTGTTGTAAGGAAGTGGGGTTCGGACTTAGCTCAGGGAGTGGACAATCGTACAGAAGCCAGGCTGCTGATCAGTATTCTTTAGCCCGATGCCTTCTTCCAGTTGCTTCCCATGCTACAATCTACAAGTAGGGCTCAATGGCGCAGGAACATTTAGCAGGGCGATGTCCCACGTTTGTTCCTGTCATGCTCGTGCACGAGGCCTTGTCTTTTACCATCACCTCGATGGCATTCACTAGCTTGAGAAATGCATACGGGAAACCTGCAGTACGTACCCCCCCCCCCTCCAAGATGACACTTCCCCATTCTAAAACCAGAACATTGCCCAAACCTCGAGATTTTGATAGCGGTGCGTGGTGGGGCAACTTGCAACAGTGTCTCGCTAAGCACGGTGCGATTTATCACGGCAGCAGCAGCATAGCAGTCGACAGTCCGGCACTCAGACTCCGCTTAGAGCATGTGCACATTCCGCTGCCCTCGCAGCCTTTTGGCTGAAAGTAATTCGAGCTGCGCGATCGCTGCGCTAAAACCAGGCGAAGAGAGTGCACTCATCGCCACTTGGGCTCTGACAGTCACGATGATTTGCTGTCTAAGCCCTGCGTGACTCTATATGCTTTGAACACCGGCGATATTCGGTAATCCGAGTGTGAGGCGCTTGACATTCTGTTCTCCACAAGATTTTCGGAAGTGTCGGGTTTAGCTCTATGGCGCCACTCAGCTACTCATGTCTTTTGTTCTGCAGCTTCGACGAAAACAAGACAACCCACCCTGAGCATCCAAGATATTCCTGCGCAGGCCTGAGAGCGAAGGTGGAAAGTCGAAGACCCAGGACAGGTTGAAGCTACGCACCAAAAATCGGATTTGCAACGCCGCACAGACTTGCAGACGGCTCTTAGGAACCTTGCTGAGAAAGCACACTCAAACACCACCTCGCAATTCGGACCTCCAACATGCTCATCCTCAATCCCTGACCTCGACGCCTGTGGCATTGACCATCCCACCCCCAAAGGCGCGACTAATTGGTGCTTGGGAGGAATGACCGCCAAGCAGGTGGGGGTTGCCGAAAGTTTGAGAGCTCACAGGCTCCTTGGTTCTCAGACTGTTTGAGGCTCCAGATCCTCCTTTTCTGGGTCCTTGTTGGCTACTTTTACATGCTTGTTCTAACAAAACCCCTATATAAAACCCCTATAAGGATTAAAAATGATCATGTTTAATGTAGCCCCAACAGGGAACCAGTTTTAATGCCACGGGCATCGGGAGAGTGTGCCTTTAACTGTGCCGTCCTTCGGTCCTCTGGCAGGTGACGAACGTTGTGTTTGCAATGCTTCCATGCCGCGCTCCTTGGCACCTGCAAGTCCTGAAAGAGGAGCTTAGTTCCCCAATATCCAACCTTTAGGTTCTTATAATTTAGTAGTAATCTGCCCTGGCTTATTGGGGAAGTAAGGGAGGGAATTCCAATCATATCCTCAAGCCCTGGGTTTCTTCTGGGAGCCGCAAACAACTGACAATGCTTCCTTTCCATAAAGGCATGGTATGATGCGTGCCAGGCGGCTATCCGATTTTGTCGGTCGTCAGAACCCGCCTAAACCCCGAACCCACAGGTTTACCACAGGTCAGGTGCAATTAGGGTTAAGGGTTTCTGAGTCTCCAAAGATCCATGTGTGACGGCCTTAGATGGTGCAGTGCCTTTCTTCCCACAAGGCTTTGTGTTGCGCTCTTGAGAAGTTTTGCTACAGACAGTCGCTGCGGCTTCACTACTCAGGGCCCCAACACTCCTTCTGGCATTTGTGGGTTCGTCTAGGCTTCTGCAGGAGGGCTCTACCATCACAAGACACCCTGAAGAATGGGATGCCTTTTGCTTAATCCCACTCCTAATTTAATCCAATCTCCATCCACCACACTTTAGGATGACGTGGACCACGTGCTGGAGATCATGCGAAACTTCGGCGAGGCTGGTTGGGGACTCACGCGAACCAGAGTTCCCGAATAACGGATCCTTTCTTAGACGCCCTGAAGATCCTCAATTGGCATCTCATACAGGGCAGGGGGATCTCTGTTGGGCTTCGGCCTCAGGGTCTTGAGGCTTCGGGACCTTGGGACGAGCATAGGGATTGAAAAATCGTACAACATTCCCTTGCAGTCCTTAAATATATAGATAAACATGTGTATATATATATATATGCGCTCGCCCCCTTTCCATACATACATACATACATACATACAGACATGCATACATACATACATACATACATACATAAGATACGTAAACATATGTATTTCTTGGTTTATTTTTTATGTATATTGCAGCAGCCTCCGCAGCCTTGTTCTGTTTAGTCGAGCCGCAAAATTTCCTGGGTTTTGGAGCTCTTGGGGCCCAAAACAATCTAGGGCCTATAGGCTTTAGGGTCTAGGGTTTAGGGTTAGAGGTTGCCAGAAGTCGGGTCGGGGTCTCACTGTGCACTTCGGGCCACCACTAAGGCACCTCTGGGCCCAGAAACTCTAACTTTCTTGAGGCAAGGAGAACCCTTTCGAAATGAACAGGGCTCCCCTCGGAGGAATAGTTAGGCAAGGGAAAGCGCTTGAGGTAGAACTGGATCGCGTTGTGGGATCCTTGGGGGGGATGTTGGAGTTGAAGGGTGGCAAGAACTCCGAAGGAAGCCTCGTGGCTTTGGGTTCGCATCGATATCGTTTCGGCCCCTTGCAGCGACAACCCTTCCCAGATCACGAAAGCTAAAATGAAAGGCCTTGGGGTAAAGGATTTTACGGGTTGTTTACAAAGGTTTCGTAGTTCACGTGTGCTTCGGTGTTTCAGTGCTGCTTTTTGTGGATTTTAAGGGCCGAGGGCTTATTGGGTTTAGGGCCATCCAGAAGGACAGTTGACGTCAAGAGTCTGGGTTCGAAAAGCCTTTCCGGATAGGAAGACAAACCCAACCCCAAAATGATGACTGACCCCTCAGCCCTGAGCAGCTTCCGGGATCTTGCGAGACCGAAACAAGCGTGAACAAAAACCTGAACAGGTGGGAAGTTGCAAGGTTTGGGAGGATGCAGACGGCTTGGTGCAAGTAGCTGCTTGGCTGTCGGCGTGGCTCCAATATCAAGAAAGGGCGAGAAGCGGATTTTGAGGAATTTCAATGTTTAGAATTCAATAAACAGCCAAAACCGCTCCAGTCCTGGCACCCTTCGCCGAGTTGAGGGCTAATCTCTTCCGAGCTTTGGTGGATTTCCGATTCCCCTAAGTCCTCCCAGCCTTGGACCTCCCAGACCTGGGAACTCCAGGCCCCATCCACCCCCGATTCTCGACTCCTGCAGGCCTCAAGATACCCCGTTTAGGGTTTTAAGTTTTAGGGTTTAGGGTTTGGGGTCCCAGCCCGTCACCCGAAAAAAACCTCACTTGAAGCCTCAGAGCCTACTGTAGTACAAAATCCTCGCTGGTGCCCCCGGATGAGCCTCCGAAAATGTATGGCACCTCGGTCAAGGTCCCTCGGTGCGAGCAGTCTTCGCACAGGGACCCTGAAAATCTGCATCGGATTTCAGAGTTTTGAACCGCGCTGGGATGTACCATGAGATACCTAACCACTACATGGGTAGTTCTCTAAATTAGGGGTCCCTTTTAGGGTTCCTCTTATAAGGGGACCTAAAAAGGGACCCTATTTTAGAGAACTACCCATCTATATTTTACAGCGAAACAGCGAGCTTGGCCTGGGCAGAGTCGGCAGCCTGAGCTCCATAGGGCTGATGATAGAAATCCTGCGTTACCCATAATGAGGAATATACCATAATTCCCATGGTTTAGGGCCCACTAAGGCCACTAAGGTAATGCAGGATTTTCTATCATCAACAGTACTTTCAGACCTTGGAGGCTCTTTTTTTGGGGGGGCAGTTGGGAGTTTCCGGTCACTTCGGGGTTC